GCGATAGCATTGATTGGGACATTGCAGGACATGCGGTCATATTGCCTGCAGCGTTGATGAAGGGCCCGCTCGATAGCCGTAGCCTCCTTAATGAAGTCAACCACGGTAGTCGGAGGGTTGCGCAGTAGCCCGGCAAAAAGCTGCTCCTTGACACCGCGCATGAGGTAACTCAACTTTTTATCGTCCGTCATGTGCGGGTTAGCTCGTTGAAAGAGACGAGTCATGTCCTCGGCAAACATTGCAACGGTTTCGTTGGGTTTTTGAACCCGTAGCTCCAATAACTGCTGCGCGCGGTCCCTTCTATCGATATTGGCGAAGGTATCGACGAACTTCTCTCGAAAGTCGGGCCAAGCTGACAGATTGCCTTCTCTATTCTCATACCAAGTACGAGCACCGTCGTCAAGGTAGAAATAGGCGCGTGAAAGCTTTTCCTGTTCCGACCAATGATTTACCTTGGCAACACGCTCATAGTGGTCAAGCCAGTCGTGAACGTCTTCATGGGCACCGCCACTAAAGCGATCGGGAACGAGGGGTTGAAAGAGGGTCACCTGAGATGGGTGCGTCGGATAGCTGCCTTGGGGCACCTGTTGCGAGCTTGCGTTGGCTATTGGTTGAGCTGTGCGGTGCCTAGCAGGTTCCGGCGAGTGAGTCAGCTCTGGCGCGAGGCCTCGCAACCGTCGACTGGAGCGATGCACCGGTGTTTCTACAGGTGACAGTGCGTTTGGACTCGATGAGCGGCTCCCAGCGGGCGTGTGGAGCATCAGACAGGGTTGCGGCCCAGCACCTCCACCAGTGTCGCGGTACAACGCGAATAAAACACAGATACACCTTGGGACGACGAAAGCAGCGTGTCCTCAACAGCTCAGTCTTTGTTTTGTTTTGTTTCCCTGGGAGGTTGGCTCATACCCACTCAGGGGGATTGGCCAAAAAAGTGTAGTGATCATTTCTGTGATTTTCTGTGATCATTTTAGCTATGTGTAATGAATTGGTATTATAATAAGACTAATGTAAAAATAAAAACAACATAAAAAGAGCAAACAAAAAAAAATCAAGTTAAGCAATTTTGAGATTTGAGGTGTTATGTTTACCACTTAGCTGCGTTTACTTCACTCTGCCCTTGGGAGTAATAAATAATTTTTTTTTTGATTGAGGATCACAAAGGTATACGCTTGGTTGCCTGAATATAATCGCAAACGTCATTGAAAGCATCCCTGTGGCAATGTCCCAAAGCTGAGGCGCCAAAGCTTAGCCTTACATTGACGGCGGAAACAGCTCAGTCACAAGATCGTCTTCTTCAGCCTCGAGAGAAGCTAGAGGCCCACTACCTCGTGCCCACTAAATGCCCCATCATCGTTATCGTCCACATGTAGACACGCGTCAATATGAACTCGCACGGACGAGTTGAGGTGAGCGGTGATCGCAGCGACGCTTTGCGTCGAGGCGAGCCGAAAGCCCGTCTTTCGGTACCGGTTTCCGCTCGTCCAAGCCTGCGCTCTCGCCGCTGTGGCCTGCGGTTGTTTACGCAGTTGTCGCTCCGCCACCGCGATGGCTGTCTTGGTATTTTTTCTCAGTTTGCACCAGCTGTACTTTATGGTTGTGTTGGTGTCTTGGCTAACACTGCACAACGCGATGGCAGCAGTGGTTCTGTTGCGGCACAGCGCTCGCCGCAGGCGTATCCGCAGCCTGACGCACCGTCCCCTGTTCACCCCTGGCTGGTCTCTCCAGGAATTCGCCGTGATTCATGGCTTGTAACGCCTTTCATTTGTGTACCTGATGCTGTGGAAAATCCTTTGAAGCCCTACACGCGAGTCATTTTTTGCAATAGTTGTGGCTTGTCGCTAATACGAATTAAGCGGCGCCCTGAACCTCGTTAAAAATTTTAAATTGAAAACAATAAGCAGTTTTTAAATGAAAATGACTAAAGACCCTCATCAATTGTTGGAACAAAGTGTACAGTTCCACCACAATTAAGTGCACCGTGTTCCTCTTGCCTCATACGCTCACCCTGTTTGGCTAATCTGATTTCTGTGGCTTTTGGACTGGATGGTGAGATCCTTACACGATGAATTTTTAATCTGAGGGCTTGTAATTTCAATTGGAATGCAATATACAATTTTGAGTAAAATTTCTATCGGCTTGCGTAAGCGTTTTTTCAAATTCTTCCAACAGGTCCTTATTTGCTCCCACGTCCACGTCAGGCCCTGTTCCTTCAAACATCTTTCCAGGTCCATGAATATGTCCTTATTTTTTTGCCGCTTGCTATCGAGCAAATCACTCAGTTTTTTCTCATTGACTAAAGCTAGCAACGTCGTTATTTCATCATGTGTCCACATGGTGCGTGGAGCCCGCGAGGATGTCATCGTGCCTAGCGCGCGCGTACCGGCCGACAGAGAAAGAGCAACGTCGGAGTGATGGGGACAGGGGAAGCGGAGACCGCGACGGGCGGGAGAGGTCACGAGCCGTCAACTCAGCGCGACCGGTTATACATGCCCTTTCTGAGCGCGGCGAGTTCGGTGAACCTACCCCCTGTCTCCGGGTCGACGGGACTCGCCGCGACGACTCTCCGCCCCGACGCGTCCGCTTATACATGGGGAGGGTGAGTCCAGAAAACCTGTTTATTTTGACTCAACGCGCCCTCGTCGGGTCAATGTGGGCCTATTGAATGTGGGCCTATCACTTTACTACACTATTCATTTTGGGAACCAATTTTTTAAAGAAAATTTTAATTTCTTAAATATGGTGGCTGTTAGGTAGCGACGAAACTTCGAAAAAGTGAAATATTATACGCAGCACGGTAAAACGATTCTAGTCGGTAGGAAAAGAACCGCATTTCCTTGTTAAAACGCATTCACCACTAGTGTATGTTAATGTGCTTTGCGGGGAAGCAATGCAGTGTTCTTGACCAAAGTCAGAATTTTTTACAGCTTTTCAACTTTTCCAGAGACAACGCAGCTGCATAGCTTGCTTGCATTGTTGACGGTAAGTGGGGGAAAAACACGAGTCGCAAAGACAGTAGTTTGGAAGCGCTGGCACATGAACTTTGAAAAATTTGCAATATTGTTCATGTTCAGGCACTTATCGGTCTGCGTGGCGCTCCATATAAAAAATATACACTTTGGATCATTTCAAAGGGTGCAGAAACGATATTTATTTCTGTAAGTTTAATACGAATCTTTGTTTTACGCAAGAAAATATTATTTATATTCGGTACGGCGAATTCCTGGAGAGACCAGCCAGGGGTGAACAGGGGACGGTGCGTCAGGCTGCGGATACGCCTGCGGCGAGCGCTGTGCCGCAACAGAACCACTGCTGCCATCGCGTTGTGCAGTTTTAGCCAAGACACCAACACAACCATAAAGTACAGCTGGTGCAAACTGAGAAAAAATACCAAGACAGCCATCGCGGTGGCGGAGCGACAACTGCGTAAACAACCGCAGGCCACAGCGGCGAGAGGCGAGAGCGCAGGCTTGGAGGAGTGGAAACCGGTACCGAAAGACGGTACGAAAGGCTCGCCTCGACGCAAAGCGTCGCTGCGATCACCGCTCACCTCACCTCAACTCGTCCGCGCGAGTTCATATAAACTCGCGCGCGTCGAGGTAAGCTGAACCCGCCACTCAACTCAGCCCGCCCCCGTCGCGTCCATGTACACGGGGCTATATAAAGTAACTCCAGGCAGGAGCAGTTTCTATAGGTAAACAACTGGCGACGTGACCACCGAAAACTACTGACGTTTGCACTGCGCGGGCGGGCGTCCAAACACAAACTCGTGACCTAGGTTTGTCAGCTGACACCGTGTTGCCGTCAGCGTCGCGAGGTGCTGCGCATCTCGCTCAGTCGCGCCGCATGCACTTCAATATTGATTTAAACGTGTTCTAGGCTACGGACCTTTTCAATGAAGGCTCCCCGGGCGCCGCCATAGTCCTCTCTGGGTTGTTCTTAAAATGCGTGACCCCCCAAAAATGCATTGCCGAGGCTGTGACGTCGGCTTTTGCACTCCGGTGCAACCAACGTTGGTGCAACAGCCCAGAAAGAAGGAAATTCTACTCTCCAAAAAAAAAAAAAAAGAAAAAGTATATATTTGCCATTGATAATTCGTAGGCATTGTGTGTCTCCACATGAATCTATCTCTCAATTCTCTCCTTTCTTATGTATTAAGATGATGTTAGCGTTCTTCTAAGACTCTGGTACCCTTCCCGTCAGGAGGCACCTCGTAAACAGGGGTGCTAGTTTTTCTAACGCAATCTGTCCTCCATCTTTCAGCAGATCTGATGTTACCTGATCCTCACCAGCAGCTTTGCCTCTTTGCATGCTCTTCAAAGCTTTTCTGACTTCTTCTATCATTACTGGTGGGGTGTCGTCTGGGTTACGGCTAGTTCTTATAGTATTAAGGTCGTGGTTGTCTCGGCTACTGTACAGATCTCTGTAAAACTCCTCCGCTATTTTAACTATCCTATCCATATTGGTAGTTATTTTGCCTTCTTTGTCCCTTAGTGCATACATCCTACTTTTGCCTATCCCAAGTTTCCTCTTCACTGCTTTGAAGCTTCCTCCATTTTTCAGAGCGTGTTCAATTCTCTCCATGTTATACCTTCTTACATCACATACTTTACGTCTATTAATCAACTTCGAAAGCTCTGCCAGTTCTATTTCGTCTGTTGTACTTGACACTTTCATGGTTTGACCCTTCTTAATTAGGTTCTTCGTTTCCTGGGAAAGCTTGCCAGTGTCCTGTCTAACTACCCTGCCTCCAACTTCCACTGCACACTCCATAATGATACTCGTCAGATTATCATTCATTGTATCTATGCTAAGGTTGGTTTCCTCATTAAGAGTGTGTCACATGTGCTTTCTGTATCAGTCGTTTGGGTAACTTCAATTTCATACGTAATAATTCGAATTCTGGGACAACCGCATTCACTGCACAGGTATGTTTTCGAAGCATATACATGTCCGACACAATCTGGACCACGAATTCTGATTGTAGATAATTGTTTCTGCAGGAAGAAGTACGGCAAAGAAAACGTCATCATGTCCGACATAGTGCGGCCACCCAAGAGCATCCTTGCAGAAGGTGAGCCACACTGTACTCATTCATCGTTTACCTGAACCCCCTTTAATGGTCGAGGTCAATCCGGTGTGCGGCGTGACCACCCTTACAGCGCATGCGCGTCCCTCTCCTCTCTTACGCTCCCCCTCTCCCACCTCTTAACGACGCTGCAGGCAGTGTCTACTAGCCAATGCTCCCTCTCCCCTCTCTCTCCTCTAGGCATTTCTCTCAGTGGCGTTTATACTCCCATTGCACAAGCGTATTTCTTGATCGAAAAAAAAAAAAAAAAACGACTGCTAGCCTTGTGCAACCATATATAGGCACTGGATCTTGACCTCCAAAAGTAGTGCTCACAGGAGATTTCTCCTGAGCGTTCAACTAATTGCAGCGTGAGCATTAATTAAATGTGGACTGAGCGTTTTTGTGTAGAATTTGAGCCTACTGTCTCTCATTGCCCATTAGCAGCGATTAGCATGTTCTAGTAAGAAACACCGGTTCATCACTGCATGCTTTGCACCTCCCCAATTTTCTCTCCGGCACAACGCTGCGATGAGCGCCAGCGTCAATGCCGCTGCCAGTGTAAGCGTCATCGCCCAGTGCTTCACAACACATGGTTCCCTTTAGCGGGACATGGTGTAATTTTTTTTTTCGACCATTCTGCCTGAATAATTTTTTGAAGTAGTTATAAAATTAGTTGATTATTGAAATTTACTGCCTCAGAAAACGATCGCCACACTTTTTCGAATAGGTCACAAACGAGAGGAATTAGAGCATATTGTACCAACTTGCTGAACTTCCTACCTCAGCAATACATCAATGGTATACAGTAGAACCCCTTCATAAGAGACACTGATAAAAGAGACATGTGAACATAAAAGAAACCATAGTGCCGACAGTAAAATACGGATTGGTAAGAAATGCATACGAGCTGCCCTGCTTATAACGGACATCTTATATAAAAAAGAAGAACTGCTGCCCGGGGCATGCATCTTATAAATGGGTTCAACTGTACCTGGCAGCACCAAAGCTGCCTTTTCTGCGTGTGCTAAGCACAAGCTTAGGAGTTGATACAGTTCGATAAAATCGCTAGACAATGCCAGGCATCGAGCATGAAGCACCGATGGTAGCACAGACATTTCCGTTTAAGAAAATCACAGCATGTCCACGGAGTGAATGATGACGAGTGGCGCGAAATGTCCATCCGTACATGCATGTATCTGTCCGTCTGTCTCTGTCTGTGTGTGGATATGCTGTGCTGGCTACGCCGGAGGGATGCGGGGCTGCCCTACATTATAAGGAGCTTCGCCTCTAAAATACGCTTGACAATATTTTGTATCTATGCTGCACACTTTATGACCACAATAAGCTTTGGAGACGCTAACATTCACACAAGCATTGTGAAGTTTGCGAAAGTTGCCACGTGTTACTTTTGTGCTAGTGATACTATTGCGGAACGATGTGCACGCAGCTAAACGTTGCAAATGAAATTTCACATTTTAGACCTCCCCATTTTCCTATTGCACACACATTCCACTGATCGCGTAGGTACACTGTGTACACTTTACAGCATTTGATGATGATGATGACGATGGCCCATATGTTTGGCTCACACCCACTCTTAGCTTCTTTTCTTCGTCCTCGGTCCAAGGCCGTATCTTCAGCGAAAGATTTACAGTTTGCTCTCGGCTGCTCAATACTTTCACTTCAGCTGATTGTCTACGACATTCCATGAAAACTGCACGTACGGATACAATTCTCAGACGAGTATTTCAGTTCTCAAGCTGTGTCCCGCACCCTAGTTTGCTACAATCCACCATTTGAATTTATATATAGCACCCCATATACCATAACAAGAATACTGCAGGAATGGGAATATGGAAGCTTGCAATGAAAACAGTCCTCAAACAGGGGTTGCGTTTTCGAGCCGATGTTTCGACAAGTGTACATGTCTTTTTCAAGGCTAGCTTTAGCCTTGAAGAAGACAAGCAAACAACTCCTGTTCACGAATTTTTTTCATGTACCATAACGGTCATACTTAAGTCGATCAACGGTACTTTTTGATGCCCATTTATGAATTAGTTGTTCCGAGTTTTTTTGCATCAGAATGATGCTAAACTGAAAGAAAAAACGTTGAATTGGAAAGTGCCAACTATTCTTATTTCATAGATACACGCATTGACTTGGCTGCAAGATGAAGTGAAAATCAAAAGCACGTGACTATAGACGAACGTTTAATAAGCCGCAGTTTTTGCAGTCTTCTGAATCTTGCTGAAAGTGAAAATTGCTGAAACTCTGTACTGAACTCTCCTTTCTTTCTGCTTCCTTTGGGGTAGCGAACCTAGGCTGTGTCTAGCTGATCTCCCTTTGTCCTTTTCCGATATCCTAAAGAAGCGTGACTGGCTTAGGATTTTCGTCACGAGATCCAGCATTTTTAGTGTTAACAAAAACTATCAGCACAACATGCCACGCACTGTTTACCGTACCTACTCGCAGGCCCGTACGTCTACGCTGACATCCTGGACTTCAAGAACCTCCAGGAGCTCGTTGTGAACGAGCGGATTGACTGGCTGATCCACTTTAGCGCTCTCCTCTCGGCCATCGGCGAGCGAAACGTACCGCTGGCCATGCGCGTCAACGTCGAAGGTGTGCACAACGTGATGGAACTGAGCAAGCAGTACCGACTACGCCTCTTTGTGCCCAGCACCATCGGAGCGTTCGGTCCTGACTCGCCACGTAGTCCGACTCCAGATCTGTGCGTCCAGCGGCCGAGGACCATATACGGCGTGTCCAAGGTCCATGCAGAACTTTTAGGAGAGGTATGACAATGACCTTAGTAAGATGGAACTTTGAACGAGTTAGGTGCTTCATTGTGGCCACAGCGCGTCTGTGTCAGTCACAGTGTAGCCACAGTGAAGACATTAGTTCACTGGCAATGACATATTAGGAAGTTAATAATGAAACACTGCACAAATGCATGGAGCACAGTGAAAAAAAAAAAAAAGCTAGCGACACAACATTTGTGTCACCAGTTCCTTTCCTTTGTTCCTTGTGTTATAGGATTTCACACTCTGCTCTATTTACAACCTCAAACGACTTCCAGCCCAACTTTCACTCCTAACAACAGGAAAGAAGGAAACAGAAAAAAGTTGTGATTGAACGTGGTTAAACTGAACTTGTCAAGCGATCGGCAACTGTGCCTGTCTCCTCTTCCCTTGCTTTCTATAGACCTTTTGTTACACAGGAGCACAAAATCTGACGTCACAATCTTAGCAGTGCATTTTTTGGGGTCACGCATGTTAATAACAGCCGTCGAGAAAGGACTATGAAGGCTTCCTATGTGCAGCCATAGCTCTTTCAGGGCTGCACAAATTGGCGTGACTCCCCGAAAATGCACTGTCGAGATTGGGAGTTCAGACTTTGTACTCCCGCTCGGCATTTTTTTTCCTATTCGCTTCTTTCTTTTTCTTTTTATGTCTTGCTCTGTTTCTTCTACGTCTTTGTGCCTGTTTTTATCTCTTTCTCTCCCTATCCCTTTCTGTCTTCCAGTATTTTTTCTTCTTTTTCCACCAATACTTTCTATTCCTGTCTTTCTATCTTTCTGTACAAATTATCTCGCTCATCCGAGTGAATGCAACCCACGCAGAACAAATTTGCATGGCGGGAGATCGCACGTTGGGCTCGGAGCGAAGCAGAACATGAGAAAGAGAACGAAAACAGCGCTCGCCGGCTGATGATGATGATAGTTTCTTGTAAACGCGGTACGGGTTTTTGACAGGTTTAGGCAGCTGTGCTAATAAAAATCTATCAATCTTCTTTTTGATTCCGGTATTTCCGGCCGCTTCCTACATACAAAAAGTATAAATAACATGCAACCACAAACGCGTCGAATCAACGTATGGATATAGAGGGCTTTCTTTGCGAGAATACAAGTGTTGAATTTCCGGCATGCTTATACATAGAAGCTGTATTGCACGCCCCACTAAATATGTGGCCATGGTCTGACATGCAGTATTATCACCACAAGTTCGGCCTCGACTTTCGGTGTCTCCGGTTTCCAGGTGTCATCTCGTACGACAGTGAGCCCGGAGGTGGGACCACAGGTATGTGGTTTCTACATCGTCTCTGGCTTCCCTTCTGTTCACTTATGTGTTGCACTTGTGAATCAAAACTTGTGAACCTAGCTTTGGGAACACTTTGAGAATCGCCTTGTGGTGGACATTAATATTCGAACCTGTGCATCATCAATAATGCCGACCATCGTCCCACTGTATCTTACACCATATGAAAGTGCTATTCTTTTGTCGATGCTTCGACAGTGGCACAAGCAGCTCCGCAACCACGTTATTTCTGCAATTAACTGGTAGTGAACAGTGGATAATAAGACATAAATGAAATAGGCCAAAGTGAACCCATACTTCATATCTGGAGTCTCAAACTCAATTCCATCATCGACCGGGCCACAGTCACAAATTCATGACATATTCGACAGGTCGTTTCGGAGCGCTCTAAAATGCTCTCCTGATAGAGAGAGACTGATAAAAGAAAAAAGACGCAACCTCTTTCCTGCTCACGAGGGAGCTCCGAAACGACCAGTCAAAGATGGCATTAGTCCCACAGAGAGCCGAGAATACCGTGGCCGAGACAGCAAAAAGGGTGGAGAGGGGGCTTTTGCTGTGTATTAATAGGAAAGGGGGTGCACAGAGTTTGAAGAGAATGTAAGCTAAGTTTGACATTCCAAAGAATGCCTTTCGCTTATCTCATATATTAATCATTTCTGAAAGAAATTCGGCGAAATGACTTGGAAATCTATGGGTACCGATCTCTCTAAGACGACTGAAATTATAATTCAATTGTAGCATTTTTGCTTTGCGTTTAGCTTTCAACACAAGGTGACTGCATGTGTTGTACTGTGTAGCTTACTCGAGCAACTTGTGAGTAATCCTGATAGTCGAGGAAATAATGCGAGCACTATTTAGCAATGTCAGAAACAGCCACAAAGTCATAAAAAAAATGTAGTACGACAACTGTTCCGTGCGGGCCATGGGCCGCTGGCGATATGTCGGGGGGCAGCCCGCGGACCGCGTGTTTCAGACCCTTGCTTTACAAAAATAAGGCAATCGAAGCTTTCAAAAACCCTTGTGATGTCTACATCATAACCCCCAAGACGTGCCATTCAAACACACAACAAATATGGCCACTGTGTATTTCTACTTCGAAAAGTGTAACTTGGAACAGCAAGGTCTGAAAACTAAGGTGTGAATCTCGCTGCCTTGGTGTTAGTCACTTCCAGAGGCGTCTGTTGCGGGAGAGGATGGCTTGCCATGCTCCATGTGGGCCTTGGTCTTTATTTGGCTGCCAGGAGCTGCCGTGACACTTGCACTCTTGGTGCTGCAGGAGCGAGCGAGGAAGCCATGCTTTCCAGCCGTCATGGGGCATGCTTTGTCTTGGTTGTTTTCTGCCTGCTCTCGCGGTTGTGATACTGCAGGGGCACAATTCGTTGGTAGAGCTGGACTAATATTGCCGTTTGATGTGTTTTCATACCTGCCAATATGGAGACCTAAAAATATTCAGGAGACTCGTGCAGTATACGCAAGGGGAAGGAAAGGGAAACATTATTTATTGTTTTTAAGGGCCTTAGCAATGCAAGAGACAGCTCTGAAAGATCGATAGCGGTCATGCTAGCAATCGTAGTTGTACGGCAAACACACGCGCATCCAAGGAACAAAATGCACCATCCCCTTAACTGCCAATTCCCACGCTTAGTGCGCTTTGCCACATGACACCAATGTAGAGCGGAAAAGATCACTTAAAGGAACACCAATAAGCAAAATGATTTTTCCCATATCAGTGAAGTGCAATTTCTAAATCCCGAAAATGCCACTCTTACCGCGAGATGATGCTTGGTGAGCAAAAAAACGTGCCAAAAGAAAATGCGAAAAGAAAGTGGGTGGCGATGCCACCTTAAATTCTCACCCTAAACAGCATGACAGGAGAAATTTTGAACGCATCTACTAGACCTTACATAGCTTCTAATCGATAAAAATTAAGCACATTGTCATCTGTGCATATCAGGGACCTAGCAGGCAAAGTAACAAAAAAATTAATTACACCAATGTGGCAAAAATACGAAAAATACATTTTCAAACTTTCGGCGTCACAAGCGAAGACTTCGGCACAAAATTTAAAAATGAAACGTAGACCTGGATTTTCTGCGCTAATAATGAACTAGTAATAGTAAAATATATGGTATTGGAGTTTCGTCAATCAAAACCAAGTTATTGTTTCTCTTTAGTGTCCCTTTAACAAGCGTCTCACACGTCAGAGACTAAAGCCAGAAAATTTTAGAACCACTGTCCATTATTTTCTTTCGCTGGGAAAGTTGGGGCTATTTTTCGAGATATTTATGGCCATGCCTGTACAACTGCAAGGATTGCTCGACATTCGGGAGTCTCCTAAGTAAGTCGGGGCAGTAAGCAGGCGTGTACCTTCATACACCTTCCATACTAAGCGTTGAAAATAGCTGCCGCCTACAGACATGATTAGCACTCTCAGTTTAGCAAAAGCCCTTATTTGGTGCCTCTTTTGACCGCTGTGTTCACTGTGATGCAGACTACGCAGTGCAAGTGTTCCACGACGCACTAAAGTACGGGAAGTTCACATGCTACCTCAAGCCCGACACACGTCTCCCGATGATCTACATCACGGACTGCTTGCGTGCTCTCATGGAGATGATGGAGGCGCCCTCCGAGAGCCTCAAGCTTCGCACTTACAATGTGACCGCCATGGACTTCACACCCGAGGAGCTGTTCAAGGAAGTTCTCAAGCTAGTGCCCGACCTCAAGGTTGACTATAAGCCGGACGGACGGCAAGAAATCGGTGAGTCGGGTACAGAATGCTTTACTGGCAGCGTTCTTACAAATGCAGAAACACTGTTTTAGAATTGGGCATAAATTAAGCACGTGCGTGCTGCTGAAAATCTTCGTGTTTCGCACTTGTGCTTCTAATTGGATATTTGGCAAGTAATTTTAGATAAAAACAGCCATGTAGACACACACAATAGCGCTGACACATATGGACAAATGTATGATTGATGAACAGTACTATTCACTATGTCTTGGGCTCTCTTGCTCATAAAAATTACAAGGTGTATGCAGCTTATTTACTGACATAACTGCCAGAGCGCACCACGAAACATCTTTAAAGTATCGCGTACGGAAATTATAGTCATTCACCAAGAAAGAAAACAAACAGTTTTTGACCTTTTGCAACCCTTGCTAAAAATGCAGCGGACCTACCACCATTGTTCAGTTACACATGCGGTACGTGTTGTAATGAACAACCATAAATATGCCACATATTTCGGTCTATGCTGTTAATGGTATATGATGTTTGTTTCACGGATATTCGGGTAGCAGTCTCAATAGGCCCCACATCGCTCACAGATACTCCACATTGCTCCAAACTAGTTCATCCAGCCCACACCTATGGCCGTCCATTATGTTGTATATACTTGACGGGACTACAGTGCTACGTCTATTTCATTGTGAACAAGGAAACGGAAGGGGATCCCATATGTTGAAAAATGTTGCCTTTTGACTTGGTCAGCGACTGCAATTTTCGTTATTTGAAACAAGCTACCTGACCAGAGGAGCTTTCGTCGGATCCTTGACTACCATTTCTAGCCTTGTTTGGAGGGTAGTCAAAAAGAGGAACAAGATTTAATATGGCTTGCCATGGAAACTGCACATGTAAACCTTTACAACAAGTTTAGTGTCTCGCATGCTAACTGTGCAACAGCTGCACCATCTGAAAAATTCAATTAAATAGTAAAGAAACTTGTCATATTGGAATGCAACATAACTAATTCTGTCAACAACAAGCACTTCAGGTGTATTTTTACTTAGTTTCACTATTCGAACCAGTATCGGTATGAAGGGAACTTGAATGTCCCCAGGACAGCTCTTGAGGCGTACTAAGGCTAATTTCGTTTCATTCAAGAGAGTGCTCTTGCATGATACGAAATTGGCAAAGCAACGAATTTTTACAGCTGCATCATAAAACCCAACTGCGCACTGCGGGATTATACTGTTTCGCTATCACTGTGGCCTGCTTGCGCTTACTGTAACACCAGAGTCCTTAAAGGGAGACGCGGGTCAAAAAACTTGAGTTTTTTTTTAAATAACCGATTTTTTTATTTTCGCCTGTTTTGATAAGATTAGTACCTCTACTGTTATAAAAAAAAATAGTACAGGTCGAGACTTCACTGGAAATGCTTTAAAACTTCACCTAAAGAACACAAGGTGCCTATTAAAAGGTCGAAAGTGTGCCGTCTTCGAGCACCTTGCCGCCGATTAGGCGCCCCTGCTAGCCATTGTTGATCGCTTGAGTCGAAGAGTCAATCACTCTTCTACGCATTTTTCGAGCGCCGCGACTGGCTTATCACATGGTACGAATCGGGGACCGCCATTGGCCACTGCGCGCCTGTGTGTGCTGTGAAACCTATTTGCGGGGTCCATGTCTTGTCGAGCAGCGCAGCTGAACAATGCTTTTCTCGTGTAATTATCTCCGGTATGAATGAAAAAACGCATTGCTCGAAAGTGAAAGCCGTTGTGCGGCGCACTCTGTAGGAATAAGCTACGAGCAGCTGGTCCGATTTGTGGTAGTTGTTGGCTTGTAAAAGCCAATGCATCAAAGTCATTCACACCCGTCAGCCGGAAAGTTCGTGATGCGGCAATGGATGACGTCAGCGCCAATCTTGAGAGGTCGAAAGAGCTCGCAGTGAGAGAGCTTAGCAGGGACGACATTGCCATTAGGTACGACGGTATGTGGCACAAACATGACCGCAAAATGGCATGACACTGGACTTAGTTTGGATTTCGCAGTCCTGTCGAACTTCTTCCTAGCTTGCAGTTGGCACAAGGCTCTGCAAGATGGAGCGCAAGTTTGGCAAGCGTTTCATGGCCTTGTCTGTGAGCGAAATGTCTGTGAGGAGTCGGCTCGAAAATGCCGAGAGGGACAAACTCGAGGTGCCGGCGTATTTTAGTCACAGTGGCCACTACAAGAAGGATTGTTCTTTTTTGTGTGCAAGTTTCATCTGATTTAATAATATCTTTCATAAATAAAAACTCAATTTTAACTTAAAAACTCGTTTTCCTCAAAACACAAATTTTGCCATTTTTTACAATGTGCCCCTCCTTTTTCGGACACTTCTAGTGCTCGGATCTGCATGAAATTTTGCCCAAATTTTTTCCAAAGTATGGCAAATGCAATTATCTAGTTTAAAGTTAAATATTTTATTGTATAATGAAAAGTTGTATGTATAACTTTACTAGAGTAGGTGAAATATGGACTTTTTACATCTATTATTTTTCAGGCGTATCACATATTTTGTATGTGCTTCCTAATTAGTTATTTACACTCTACACTCTATTTGAAGCATTATGAACTATGAATGGTAAAAAATTACAGAATTTTAGGGATGAAAAGAGGAGGGGCAAAAGGGTTAGGGTTTTCACTTTGTCATGTTGCAGAGCTATAAGTGTGTAACTTGCAAAAAAACTAATTATATATTTGAAATCAGCATAACAAGTTCCATAAACAGCTCAAGTTTCATTACTCTAGGGTGAATATTAAAGAAAAAGTGTCTTCGAGTAGCATCTCCCCTTAAGGACTCTAGTAACGCTTGTTTGATTTCTTTACGTGAGTCTAAAGCAAAACATTAAATCGGCTTAGATCGTACTGAAATCTCTATGCATAATGTCACAGATTTCAAGGAGTATTTTTGTATCTTCACGACATTGGCAGAACGAAATTCGCTGAAACTTGGTATGCTAAGTCTCTGGACCGCTCAGAGGACAGTCTGCTTCATTTTTACTTATCAGCTACTATGCAGGCACTAGCACACATCTTCAAAATCTATGAATTGGAGCTATTTATACAGGAACATTGATGTGGTGTCGCCACTCGCATTTTTTTTTTCTTGCACGTTTTCTCGCTTACTGTGACTATTCTCGCGGTAATTTCGATATTCTGAAGGAGTAGTTTACCAGTACGAGAATTTTTTTTTTAGTGTCTTAAGTGCAGCTTGAGCAGCATGAAATGACCAAGCAATTACGTACTCAGTCACCTTTCACTTTCCGCATTCAAGAATAACAGGTGCTTCCCAAAAACTATTTCTAGGCATGTATATTACAACAGCTGACCTAACTTTTAGATGCTCGCTACAGATCTTAGATTCTGCATCCAAGTGCCTCCTCCTTCTATTTACTAATACCGTAAAGTATATGGAGCATCTATTCATAAAACGCTGGTCTAAATGGACACCAGTGCAGCTGTAGAGGCTAAACAATAACAAGAGCGCGAAAAATCAAACTGTGCTTATTTTCTCTTTTTGCAGCCGACTCTTGGCCACAAGTGTTCGACGACAGCAATGCACGTCGTGACTGGGGCTGGAAGCCAACCTACGACCTGGCTCAGATGTGCAAAGTTATGGTTGACAATCTTCGACCCGTCTATAAACGCTGACCCGGGATACCAGTTTAGAAAAAATATTCATCTCGTTTCACGTTCCCGAAACAGGTAACCTTTCTCAAGCATAGTTTGGGTACAATAGAAGACAACATGACTATAGCTAAGACATTTTCCTTTGGTTGTTCTTGTTTACTGCTAGCTTTTTATTGTAGTTTGCAATGTACTCCATGGACAGCAATGTCACTTAAAATGTGTCGATAGGCCGGTGGGAAGCATCTTAGCACCGATACCCGGAAATAAAAAACTGAACACTAAGGCATTCAAGGGGTCCCTAATTCACTTTTTCATCATCGTCGAAAAACGGGCCGATCGGTAGTCGAGGCTCCCGAGAACATCTAAGCCAAAGATAGCATAGCACGCGGCACGAAATTTACAATTAATTCTCAAGGCCTGCTAGAAATTGTTGCCCTTCCTTTTTGCAAATAATGTCGTTTACCTAAATGATTGCACCATATACCCAAGTTTATAGCAGTAAGTCAATTTGTAAGCTTGTGTGAATATTCGAATGCTTCAAATATTCAAACGAATAGTTGATTATTTGAATTCGCTTCGGTTAAAATTTAAGTTGGCAAATATTTTCTCAGTATTCGCAATGAACGAATAGTTGTATATTATGCTAGCCTAACAGAGGCTGTTGAGCGTAGGGCTCCGACGCCATCTACTAGCACAAGTGCGAAGGTGGAGGAGTTATTGTATTGTGGCGCATCGATGAAGATGGTAGAGTTGTGATTCGCAGCGGTATGGTTGAGAATCGATTAGTCCGCATGTAACCGCCTGTAAAGGTGGTTTCACTAAAATGTAGGTGTGCTAAGCCGTGAAAACACCTACTCAGGGGAAATTCGCCTTGCCGTGAAGCCCCCTTCAAATTTAAGAGGGCTTCGCAACACTATGATCATGGTCAGAAAACGCTGCCGATCGGTAGTCGAGGCTACCGAGAACACGCGAGGCTAATATTATAACGCAGCACGCGGCCTGCAATTCACAATAAACTTTCAAAGCTAAAAATTGCTTTCTTCCCACGGCAAATTACACTACAAGCTCAAAAATCACTTGTCACAGCCAAGAAGGAACACGGCTCTGGTCACAGCCATTGGTTGATTTGAGCATGGTGCGCTCGTCGCTACTGGGGCCGCCACAAGAGGCCGCCGCTTGTCCACGAGTACATGCGCGATCGCACTGAAAAGTCGCGAATTCGAAGAAAAAAAAAAACAGCTACTCAAAGTCACCAGGTGCGTGTGACGTATTTTCTTTCCCCGTGCCATTATTCTTTGCTTAGCTTACAGCTTTTTCGTCTGGACGATAAGAGAGAATGCAATTACAGCATGCAACAAATTTTTGGAACTACGCTCATACTAGACTGATTCTAGAAGCTTTGCGGCAGGTAAATTTGTGAGGCAACAAGCATGTTTACTGGCTCCATGGCTACTTGAAAAAGTGTTGCAGGGCCTCTTTAAGAAAACATGTTATCCTCAAATCAATTCATTTTATTAAGCTTGTTATGATGGCTTATATGCTCCAAGTATAATAAATTTTAAAACATTAAGTATCTCACAGGTTATCACTTGCATCCTACCGAAGCTACTACTCAAAGTTGTTTTGACTTCCTTTGACGAAAAAAAAAAAAGGCATTTGCATACAGCCCTATTTCAATTCAAAAGAAATATTGTGCAGTTTAGTTAGGTCATGATAAATATTCCCCTTTTTTTATGTCATACATACCATTCGAATTCGATTTGAAATTATTCCAGCAAAATCACTATTCGCTTCGAATCTAAAATTCACTATTCGCACAAGCCTACTGATTTGAATATCGTGAACAGTGCAGTTACCGTGGCCACTGTGGGAGGCTGCCACGTGCCTGCACGCGTGCTCGCGATCACACTGAAACTGATCCGTGCGTTTGAAGGGGAAAAAAAAATGCAATCGACGGTACGACACGCGCACAATGTAACTTCTTCCAACCTTGACGTTCCACCTGCTTAGCTTCCAGCGTACTTGCCGGGCACGAGAAATAGAATGCAGTTACAGTGTGCGGTAAGTCTCTGTAACTCCACTCGTACTAGACGGATTCCAATAGTCTTTCACTGCAGTCGATTCGTCAGGCAATAAACTCCTTTATTAAACCATTGAATAGGTTGATAGGAAAAGTGTTGCATGGGCCATTTTAAAGAAAGTGCCAGACAAAGAGACTCTTAAACATAACACGGTCACCAAATAATTTGTAGTTTACAGCAAAAACTATAGAAGTACAGATTCTATTATGCATGTACGCGCATGAAGAGTGGTCTGTAAAAGAACATTTCAGCTGCAAAACAGGCCGCCGAAGTAGCTGGCTGTAAGTCCAGCCAACCGCCGGCGACGGCTATATTGTCATGGCGCCTATGACGTAACGTGCAGCAAGGAGTGGTTCTGTCGTCTTCTACCTTAGTTTCAGCTACTGCGAATTGGTCAATATCACTGCTAAGTGTAAGAAAGCTCGAATATCTCGATTTCACACGCAGCTGACGGAACAGTACTGCTCGCCACAATCCACACGCTCGCACAGCCAACTGCTCATTAAGTCAGGGGCTCACAAGTTCACTAGTGTTGCCAGATTCTAAGGCCACTTGCGTGTTTGTAGAAACATTTAAGAAGAAATTAAGCGGTCGACCAAATGCGCTAGAATTTTGCCAGCTTATTTGTGAATGCTCAATGATTAACCCACATACGAGGTATTACGATTGAAAATTGGATGTCATGGCCCGTTTAACTGTGCTTCGAACAACAGCTTCAGACTAAGTCTTTGCATTTCTTTTAATGAAGTGCGTTAACTATGAAGCCGATCACTTCCACTTTCAATTGCTTGTGTTAGTTTCACTGAAATCATGATGGCCATTTCTCCAATTCTAATGCCTAATTCCTTTTGCTACGTTTGCTTGAATTACAGCACAAGCCAAGAACAAGAAAAAGGGAGTTCACATATTCTGGGTGTGCGCTGTTTCTGATGCGACCTTCGTACGTCATCCGTCCAGCCCCGTCGACAGATCTGAACTGCACTCATGACTGGCCGCAAATTAGAACTTTCATTCAGTACAGCGCTTTCATGTAAGCAGCTTGAATAGCTGCATGTTGTCTTAAATGCCCTCTTCATCACCATTTTGAAGTTCCGACCAGATCTGTCACAGACTTTAGTTACTGGGGGGCAAATTGTGTCCGCGAAGCGATTGCGTCGGGAGCTTTGGCCCATGCACTTGGGATGAAGAAATTGTGAATCTGTACTATCGTTAGACCTCTCAGTTGTGCCTGTGAGTAAACGAGCATTACAAAACGAAAAGCCTCTATGATGGCTGCTTGACATGACGCTATCGCAACGTTTATGCATTGTAACAAGGCCATCGAAGTATGCATGTTCTTGTGCTAATTGTTTGAGTGTATACTGATCACGTTGCATGAGCACTTTTAGAAATGGCTAGAGTGCCCGAACCATGTTTTGTCATTTCATTAAAACACAAATGACAAAAGAAAAGTAGTGTTTTCATAGCACAATCTGCCTAACTCATAGCGATTCCCTCTCATGTCTTTTATCAGCCATAGATGCCCCTTGTTTAACCATTGTGTATGCAGCAGTAATCATCAGGGTTCATGCGGGTCCTTGAAATCCTTGAAAACCCTTGAATCTGAAAAGTTTGTTTTCAAGGCCTTGAAAGCATTCGAACTTTTGCAAATCCTTGAACTTTCCTTTTTTAAAATAAACATTGTGGCACATATCACGGTGTATTATTTGTGATGCCACAAATGTAGCAGGTGGCATATGTAATGAGCCCACCATAAAAGAATCGAGAGCTATCAGTAGCTTCGGCACGGAACCGATACCGGACATTCATGGAAACTCGGAAAAGGCAGGAGCAGAGGGATGATAAACAGAAAAACAATTGTTGCATTGATGAGAAGGTCGAAATGCTTACAAAAAAGAAAAAAAACTTGAACCTGCTGCAAAGGAATTAAAAGCTACAGCTGAACCATATGCAGAAGAGGCAGAGACAATTAGCAACCTGACATGCATCATCAAATCAAACAGTCTTAGGAAGACTGCCAAGACCAAGCAGCAGGAGATAGTGGATACCAATATGAAAATTCGGAAAAAGCAACAAGGCGTTGAGCGATAACATACTTTAGCCACGAAATAACACAAACATGCCTGTTGTCCTTGTGTTTCTTTATTCTTTGTAAGGCATTGCGAGATAACCGTTTCTTAGTTTTTCCTACTTGAATAAAACTCAAAAGTGATTACCTATGCAGCTTTCAGAAACTGATTAGTTGTCTAGAAAGGAAATGTCATCGAAGTCATGTTTTTTATGTCTGCTCAAGAAATGTTACTCTTTTTCGATGAATTCAAGTTATTTCAAGCCTTTATCCTTCCATTTTATTGGGTTTCTAACAGACAATGTGGTCCTTGAATGTTTGCTCAGATAGCCTTGTAAGTCCTTGAAAACCTTTGAATTTTTGTCATGTAAATGCGCATGAACATTGAATCGTTTAAATTGCATTTCCTCCTAGCATTGGCATGTCATGTGTGCTCACATCCACTGATTACAGTTGTACGATATTTTGCGATTAAGCTAGAAAATTTTTGGCAAACATTGAACCTAGAGGAGTTGCTTTAATCTGATAAGAAGGCACCAACAGGCCTCATGTTTCACTCGCAACATTTCACCCAAAAAGAGGGCTTTCACTTAAATGCAGTTTGAGGTCGCAAAAGTGTGCTGAAAAGCAAGTTACCTTCTGTAAGAAGTGGTGCAGATTTGTTTCGAAGTGTGTGTGCCTTAAGCTCTTTCATAGTTTGGCTTCTGTTCAGTAGTTGGGGTGTCAACAATGCTTGCCTACTCTCAGGCAACCCTGGGATGAACCAGTGCTGCCGACAAATGCTTCTTTGCAGACGCTGCAGTGTGCATTTTCTAAATTGGGCATGCCCTTACTGTCGTGAATTGAAAGATGTCCACCTAACCGCAGTAGTGCATCTGGCAACTAATACGCAGCAATGCTGTCTATGAGCACTACTGCTGCAATGTTTATAGCTATATGCATACGCTGCCAGTGTTTATGGCTTTAGGCACGAGTTACACAAGGAGACTCCTGGATATCTTTTTTGCAAATAAGAAAAAGCCTTACTGAAGCTTTCAAGGAACATTAAAAGAGCACACAAGTGCAATGTTGGAAACAGTCTGAACATTGAACAACACAAACTTGCTACAGGTTGAGATAACATACACATAATTCATTTTCTATGTACAGCCGTGGTCACGTCTGTGTAGAGCACGCAAGCAGCCGGTTTTCGCTCTGTGGCGCAAAACCTAGAGGCAGTATCGTGCTCTAATGTGGTCAGTCTCTCAACTAGGACACGAATGCTCCTGATACACCACCTCAGAGCCTGAAACTGTCTCAAGGTGTCACGCCGCTGGAGCAAAAACTGGCTGCTCACAAGGCTCTACACAGACGTGGCTGCGGCTGTACACCTGAGCATTTCTTCTCTTATATACAAAGAAATTAATCACATCTCTTAGCACTAGTGTTTAGAAGAGGTTTAGGCTTGGCTGTGCTTACACTAACACTGCATGTCCTTAGTTTTATGCCGACTCAAAACGTTTATCACCTTGGTTATTACATGTAAGCAGCATTTTAGCGGCTACATTTCTGAGACGGTTCTTTCCTTTGAATTTATTGTCTTTCCTAGCATTTCAATGTTCCATACAGTCAGTACGGGCCATAAAATTTGCCTCGCAGCAAATAGCTAGTGTAAATGGGAAAAAGATACCTAGTGGCTGCAAGGCCTGGCAGTACATCATTAAATAATGTGCTTGGTGAGAACAAGAAAAAAATCTACTCTTATCAAAAGTAATTAGTCTTGAACTTCGAGAAACTATTCAGCACATAAATGCCTGTATTAACAAAATTACTGGGCTTTACACTAAAACAGAAATGTAGTAACACCTTTTAAGCAATTATTAGACTTAACTGTATAAAAAAAGTTTCGCAAGGTTAACATGGCAGCAGAAAGCACAAGACCAGGTTGATTGGCGGATCATGGGAGAGGCCTTTGACCTGCAGTGGGTGAAGTCAGGCTGACGACGATGACTAACATGCAGTGTACATTTTAATTCCTAATGCTGCAAACCACTGAAAAAGCTGTTCGGAAGGGTTACCTGTTACATGCCTCGGCACAGCAGTGTTCCAGCATTTGTAATCACTACTCCATTGACATACCTATTGGTCGTGAAATATTTCACCTTTTTGTGCGATGCAGTTCGGAGAGAAATCTGGCACTTGCTGGGCACCAACAGACGGTGCCCTGAAGCCGCATGCATGAGTGCAAAAAATGCAAAAACAGATTGTACTATCATACACAGATCATTGTGCATCAGTCTTGCAAGAGATCCATCAACAGCCACTATCTTTACTTGTACTTAAGTGACTTAGCGTCGAGAAAAGAGGTATGGAGCTCCCTTTGTCGAGTTTTTATACTGTTCCTGTTGAACTGCACACTCTACATCTCGTTATTCTAAATCAAGTCCCCCTGCTAAAGGACATAGTTAAATAAGGTTGGCAATGAAGAGCTTTAAAAACAGCAAGAGGTATTTATATTTCTGAAGCAGGACGCTTTACTCCCGATTATTGCATGAACTATAAAGTAATAATTGTGCAGACACAGCCTAACCATCAAGTAAACAATGGTGCACACACGCATTAGTCATTGCGAGCATGCTCATGGGCAAGTACTTTTGTTTGGAAAGTATTTGCACTGGATGTCACTGAGCTGTCTTTCATGTCAAACTCAAATACAGCAAAACCATCTTTCTATGCATTTGAAATGTATGCAAATGTAATACTATAAGCAAGAGGTGCACTGCATGTATCGTGCTAACAAAATGTTAAATGGGCCGCAAAATAAAATGTGAACCTATGCGAGATTGATAAGATCACACTTTTGTTGTATTGCATGGCGGGATATATTTACGCTTATGTGATGCAGGTTTTCTCTTGACTACTCACCTGCTAATGCATAAACATACCTGCCAAGTCTCTCAGATATTCCTGGGAGATTTCCCGATGTTCAACCAGTTCTTACGTTTGTACGGTTGTCTGGAAAATCTCCCGGAAATCGAAATTTCGGCGCGTGATTTGGCCGAATCGATAAAAATGCTGCCCAATCCGATCCAAGCTTTTTTGCGAACCCATCGCTTTTTTTGTAAACGAATTTAGGAAACGTGCATCTAATCGTGCAGTAGAATTTCAATGATGCGATACCGGCTGATACAAATTTGTGAAATTCTGCAGCCAAATTATACTACGTCTATTGGGCCAAAATTCGGATGTTCTGAGCCCTTCTCTTCGTTGCAGCGGGTCGTGTGAAAATTAGCACCGAAAGAGTCGAACCAAGGCTGATGAGACCATGAACGCTTCGCAAGGACGCGTGGGCTGGCGCACGCACTGTCAGAACTGTGGTTATCATTTTTTACTATCACTGTGGACGAAACTGAGGTCGCTCTTGACATGATCATGTGTGGCGACAACGTAACTGACAGAACTCCGAAAGTACACGTGCATCCAGCGCTCGACCACTCAAAGCGACGTCGCTTTCCATAGACGCTGCGGACAAAATCGCGGCAGATGCGATCATAGCAAAAACGACATAGTTTGAAGGCACGAGCTCAGTCAGCGCACGCGGATTGAAAACGAAACTACCGTTTTCTCCAACAGCCAGGCGTGACTCTACGGTCGTGGCGACGCAATTACTAGCCGAGAGCACGTGGTTAGCGCAGTGGTAGAGGCGATAAAGATGTCAAAAAAGCTAAAAGCGTTATGAAGTTCCTTTACAAAGAATATAGTTATGTTCCTAACTATCTGCGAACTTTGGTATTCGGTTTTCAGTTGGCCTTGAGCAAAGCTTCAACCTACGCTTTCCCTGCAGCCGGCTGCGCCGTCACAATCATTCATGTGTCCCAGGTAGGCATACGAGAGTTATTTTGACAGAAATAGATTTCGCTAGTCGTTTTGATGACTCTAAATCTTAAGAGGTACACGTATTTTTGCCCCCCTTCGAGACTTGCACTTTATACTGTAATTAGAAAAACCCCACTCTCGGGTGTTCGGCTACTCTAAGCCATTATAGGACTTCACGCAAAGCTGATGTTTACTGCCCCCCCCCCCCCATTGCGGAAATTTCCCGCATTCAGAATCTTTGAACTTGGCAGGTATGCATAAATTTGCAAAGAATTTGATCTGAATTGCAAATGTAAATGAACCAACCTAAATCGAGTTATATTCTGTTAATATTAGCAACTAAGCTTCAGCAAAGACAGTATGATACTCTTTAATGCAAGATCTTTAAATTGGATTTCACTGTACCTGTTGTATGAACCAACAACAACAAAAACATTCCACTATGTCTTGTTCCTTATTTTATATTTTGTCTTGAAAAAAAAAAAGAGAGTGTTATTAAAAGAATATTTATTAAAACTTTCTAAAACCTCCTCTTTTTTTTCTAATTCTTCACTTGCTTGTGATGATGCACCAAATAAACACTGTCAAGAGCCGTGGGGAACTGTCTCGCTGCTATGGCTCCATCACTGACACCTCTTGGCCTATAGCATAGGAGACAGCTCCTGAAATCGCTTGGATGCAAAGGACTTATCACTGGGTACATATTGACTACAGTGTTTAATTGGCAGCTTTGATTGAAGTGCACGGATGTTTGGAACAAGAATCCTGTTCTCAGGGGTGGAACAGGGTACATGGGTTCGGGAGCAGTCCTGGGAGCAGGCTAAAGTACTTTTTAATGCGATAGCGTTAGAAAGCTCGTTTCGCAGAAATTCCGGCGTCATCATGAACAAGAATCATCTTGTGCGTGACCGAAAAATCGTGAAAGATGCAAATAAAATAAATAACAATTCGAGTCCGAGTGAGGATCGAACTAGTGTCGTTTGTGTGGCAAGCGGGTGTTCTATCACACAGCCATGCGTCTGCTTGCGAATACAGTTAAAATAACTTGCTCTGCTTGGAAATGCACCAAAAGTAACTTTCATGCTTTACAAACACACATGTCCTGTATACATGCTTCACAATAGAACATCAAATATTGCAGTAATGCGTAGTACAAGTGCACTTTGCCATCGGGCGTCGGAACATGTGATTATCATAATGACTTCATGGTTTAAAGCTGGTCACCCACTACAAAAGGTACACAAATTACTGTGCCTATTCCCTTAAGGTTACGTAATGGGTGCATAGCAACTTCGAAAAGATTTCATGCACTAAGTGTTTGAAGTACACGATAGAGACATGATATCACTATGCGCGTTCAACTCCTAAAGGAAGAACTTAAGGATCCCCTAATTTTGTAGTAGGCTTACCATCATCATTTTTTGCTTTTGAGAACACTGCCATCAAGTTGTAAATAAACTCACAGTAATGATATACAAAGTAATGATGGCACTTGGATCCGATATCTCGTAACTATACAAAATGCTGGTGTAAGAGAATACTGCCACAACAGAGAAAGATGCTCTTTTTGCAAAGTCTCTTTGCTTTGAGAGCACAGCAATTAATTAGAAGTGTTTACGAGGCATACGCACTGATGCCTGCCGGGCTAGGGTGTGTGCCAGTGATTGCGACTGAACCCTTACAATCAGCTGCTGCTCGAGCAATCACTGCCTTGACAAAACCGAAACTATAACTATTTCGAATTAAACTGAAAACACAATGTTTCGCCAACGTTTTCGGGCACGGGACATGATGACCGTCACACCTCGTGGCTAAATTCGTGCTGATAAGCAAGTTTGGCGCAACAGAGGTTGTTGGCGCAAATGATTCAGCTCTTCCACCACAGTGTTCTAATCACTTGTCAGCATAGACTAACAGCCTAATGAAACAGAACATCAAGACACCAGATTAAAAGAATTTTCTAGAATTTGGAGTAAAGGACGAGAAATTTCCCACATGATCCACAAATAAAATCACCGGGCAGCCACAGCTAAATGACGTTTCAAGGCTTCACCAATTCCAGCACGTCTTGGATCACTCATTCTTTGTGTTTGACGTACACTCACATCTTATGGCTCGAAAAAAAGAGAGCTGTGAAGTTAAAAACAGAATATTTATTAAAAATTGCTGAAACTTCTTATTCGCCCAGTCATTCTTCGCTTGCTTGCTATGGATGTACAAAATAAATAGTCAAATGCAGCAGTGCACTGGTTTGCTGCTATGACTCCATCATTGATTCCTCTTGAGCTAAAGCATGGAAAGAAAATACCTGGAATCATTTGTACGCAAGAGATGCAATAGAGCTAATCAGAAGCATTTCCTATGGCCATGGATCAGTAACCCATCACTGACAAGATTAACTTTCATGCAACTTTGATATAAGAAGCATCAAATTAGACACACCAAAACAGGCATGACGTTGCATGAGCACATAACGAACATGAACAGAAGGTTGCAACGTGAATCTTGTGACATGCATGTCGTGTAAGCCATGGTTCACATGAAACTACCTATGCACACCAAAACTCTATGTACACCAAAATTGGCAAGCTGTGATCTATTTGTGTAAGGGATATTAATGACATATCATAACACCAAAATCATGCAATGACTGTCATGACACAATATTAATGCTACAGAGACCACTTCATTAAAATAGTATTCGATATGTTTCAAGAAATGAGCTAGGAAATCATCAAAACTAAGAGAAATGAAATTTTTGCTAGCTGACTTTATAATTACTTTTTTCTGGTTGGAGACATCTTCAAATGACTAGACAGCAATTACAACAGTAACTAAATTAAATTATACTTTCTAACTTTTGATTAGTGAAAACAGGCATTCGGGTCAAATGAAAGAATGGTTGTCTATCTTGAAAAGAGGCCAATGCAGCTTTGACATTTTAGAAAGCAGCTTCTGGTGATTAAAGTTGGGCAATGATATTCCATTAACTTCACCTGGCGAAACTGAAGCTACGATGAGCGAAACTAGCAGAGGACCAGAATGACGCCAAAGTTCGCGACAGTGATTGCACTTGTGTTAGTTTTGCTCTTGCTAACGCATGTGCACCATCTGTTGCTCTAATCGCAAGCCAAACCAGCACCATGATGAAATAAAGTTCACCGATAGTCAGTACAACAACGATGACTCATTCTAGGCATTTTGGAAGAGTATGGCAATTGCGCTTTTCTGAGTTCCAGTATCGATCTCGGCGTCAGCAAAGTTCGTCAGATTTCATCGCTTGGGAGTAATTGCCAGTAGCTGCCTTTGTGAAATCTGAAAGCGGCAACAGGTTCTTAGAAGGAAGGGCTGAAAATTTCCCATTAATAATCACCTTTCCAGCTGCATTTCGACCATGGCCAAGTACTTGAGAGAATTTGATAATGAATTTTCCTAATCTAAGACACTTACAATAAAGAAAATATTCCATTTGCATTTGAAATCACACATATTCATGTATCCTTAGTAAATGCGTTTTGACTATTCAGTGCGACTGCCACAACTACATCCACTGCCACGTTCATCAGCAAGCCTCTGTGACTCGTTTCATTATATGTTGCTGTGAGTAGTCTGCTTGTACAGAGTAACCGTCTGCCTCGGTGGATCAGTGGCTACGATGCTCGGCTGCTGACCCGAAGATTGCGGGTTCAATTCCGGCCATGGCGGCCGCATTTTGATAGAGGCGAAATTGTAGAGGCCTCTGTACTAAGCGATTGTGGGCGCATATTAAAAAGCACCAGATGATCAAACTTTTCGAAGCCTTCCACTATGGCGTCTTTCATAATCACATCATAATTTTGGGATGTAAAACCCCACATATTATATTATTATACCGTAATTACTCGCGTAATGAACCCACTCACATAATGAACTCATCCCCCACTTCATGAAAACAAAAGAAACTTTTTTGTAATGTATCTGTTCATTT